CACATAACATTTAGGCACGATGATGTAAAAAAAAGTTCGCAACCTAGAGTCGAGATCTATGTTCAACTATTGGTCAAGCTTTGGGTGTCAAAAGGGTACCATGGTTAAAAGTTTGGACGCGTTAGCAAGGTAGCCTCCCTTGAGGGTGTATGCCAACGGGCGGCTCCGCGAGTTCGTGATGAAATCGAACTCGACTCCATGGTTTGGGTGGATTTAATAACTCGGATGAACCCTTATTGCCATGAGCGTTTTTCGGTCGATAGAGCTTAAATCCCCCGGGGCTAAGACACATGTAGAACACATACGTTTTTTTAGAAAAATCGAAGGAAGTCGACTGTGAGAAAAGAAAATAAGCCACCGGACTTATTTTAGGTATGCCGTGACACGGCAGAAATTCCCGTGTCACGGTACAGTGCACCGTCAGACGGTACACTGTACCGTGACACGGCAGACTCTGCCGTGACACGGCAGTCAGAAAATCTGACTGGTGCCCTGTTTCCTTTTGCGCGCAACCAAGTTATCCAATTTTTCCTACGGGACAGACCTGAATGCGACGTTAAAACGTCTATGCAGATGCAAAAATGCCAAATTAATCACAGGATTATTTTTTCAAGAATCTTTCAAGTCTCATCCACTCATCTTAATTAAATACCGATCACTCAAATCGATAAATAATTAAGAATCCTGCCCAGTGGAGTCGCTCGAAGTGTGCCTACGTTAAAAGCATGTAGTGAATATCCTTGGCACTCATAGGAAGTGGGAATTTACATATACGATTAGGGACAAGGAAAGTAGGGAGCCGCCAACAAGTTTTTAAGGAACTTGTAAACCGTTCACGGATCATTTAAGGCAACCACGATTAAGGGACAACGAAGGCAACAACGATTGACCTGTGAAGATTACACCCCATTCATAATCCATGAGATTACTAACTCCATATGGTTCGGAACCAGAAAAGGAGGATCAGGGATGATGGTACGAAGTGAGTCATGGAGTCACATTCGCCCGTATTGGCCTCTACTCGATTCTTATATTGAAAAGCATTCCTGTGATCTCAAAGGCATACAAACAATAATTCAATTTGCTCCAAACTATTATTTAACTAAATTGGTTTAATATTAATGCACACATAATTCTAAAAATTTGGTGATCACTTCAATTAACAATAAGATTAAAAAGGATCCTAAACCGGTATTCCAAATTATCTTATTAGGCGTGATTTTCAATTACATATTCCCTTTAAACATGCAATATGGTGATCATAAAAATAATATAATAACATTAATATTAAAACCAATTTAATCACAATTCCAACAACAAAAAATTGTTAGAAAAGTAATAAAAATAAAAGGAGCATGATCCTTACTTTGATTCTGTTTGTTTGCAACTACAAAATAATAAATAAGTTAGTAACTTCAAGGGAATAATAAAACAATAACTAAATTAAATTAAATAAAGTAAGGTTGATTTTGGGGCCAAACCCTCAAACGATTCTACCTTTCACGCCTTGGCTTAAGGACAAAACCTCGAGTAAAATATGGACTCCTTTGAGTTCTTGAAGAAGGAATTTTTAAGTGAAAAGGGTAGGCTAGTGTTTAGGTTAATAGCATAGAAGAGAGAAAATAAAAATAATAAAAATTCCCGTTGCCCCGTACATCAGAAATGAGGGGGTATTTATAGGGAAAATGTGCTGAGGGAGCACACGGAACCCTAAAATGATAAAACCCCTAAAAAAGTATCCCGTGACACGGTCAGACTGTACCGTCAGACGGTACACTTTCCCGTTCCACGGTATAGTTTTGGAGTGACGCGGGAAATTTTCAGAAAACGGGATGAAAAACGCGTTAAGGGTTTACGCGGAAAGGACACGGAACGTCCCATGTCACGGCAGACCTCCCATGTCACGGGAAGACCCACCGTCAGACGGGAAGGGTTCCCGTGACACGGTGGCAGTCTGCCGTGACGCGGGAACTTCCAGTCCATTTTTCCGTCTAAATTCATTTTTAACCCTAATTTCTTTCGGCTTTTAAGTGTCGATTGATAATTTCGGGCTTTTTTCTGACTTTTATTATGCGGGCTAAATTAATAAAATAATTAAATAAAAATAAATAAAAGGTTTGGGCCAAAAACAGTAAAATAAAAAAAGGTTTGGACTTAAAATAAGTTGGGCTGAAATTAAAACTATGCTTTTACCAAACATCAAGACTAATCCATGGACCATTCAAAAGTATGAATTTAATAAAATACGATTTTTTAAGCACTCTCGGGATTAAATACTAAACCCGACCAATAGTGGTGGTGAAAGGTTATTTATCATCGGGTTTGGTTTTGGGGAGACAGTTTTAGGTGTCTACAGCCGCCTGTTGGCATACACCCTCAAGGGAGGCTGCCTTGCTAACGCGTCCAAACTCTTAACCATGGTACCCTATTGACACCAAATAAACCTGACCATAGTCGAACATAGAACTTGACCTTAGGTTGCGAACTATTCTTTGCATCATTGTAACTACGTGTTTATGTTTGGTCGTTTTGATCATAACCTTAACGATATTTCTTTGTCCATGGTGGATTATTTTACGACTAACGATTGCCAATGGACCGTACTCACTTAGTAATTAGCGCAACAAAAAAAAAATCATGTGCCACGTCAGCATTCACCGTGGCACGGGAAAGTGCACCGTGTCATGACAATTTCCACCGTAGCACGGTGGATTTCCAAAAAAAAAAATCCCGTGCCACGTTATCATCCACCGTGTCACGGGAAAGTTCATCGGGTCACGGTAGATTTCCAGCAAAAAAAGAAATTCCCCGTGCCACGTTAGCATCCACCGTATCACGGCAGTTTCCATCGTGACAGGGTGGATTTCCTGCACAAAAAAAAAATCTTGTGCCACGTCAGCATCCACCGTGTCACGGGAAAGTTCACCGTGTCACGGTGGATTTCCAGCAAAAAAAAAACCTGTGCTACGTCAGCATCCACCGTGTAACGGGAAAGTTCACCGTGTCACAGCAATTTCCACCGTGGCACGGTGGATTTCCCAAAAAAAAAAACAACCACCGCGTCACAGCAGCTTGTACCGTGACACGGTACAGTTTTCCGTGTCACGGTGCCCTTGAAATAATCCAGTCAGCTTTTTTTAAGTCTTCCGTGTTAATTTGGTCCTCGCGTCAGTCCTTTTGGTTATTGTTCACATGTCTAGCCATACGATCATACCACGAGTCTTATAACATCACTTGGTCACTCACAAGTCAAGTATAGTCCACACACTTTCTTTATGTTCCGACTCGAGTCGTGCACCAGGTTGTTTATGATCGTATACTAGGTTCATGCACCCTTTTTTTCGTCGTAATAAAAAATGAGTAGAGTTTTCTCACCTGTTTTCAAATGTCTATTTTTTTCCTTTCCTATCTTGAGCAATGAGTCAAAAAATTAAGTGAATTATTTTATTTCACAGTACTTGGTCAAGGAACAGGGATAGATTAATACGGTTCGAGTCATTACCGCAACAATCTCTTAGATCTAATAGGCGTTCAAAGAGAACTTTGCCATCTCCACATTACTTATCACCTTTCAATGGCCACTAAAGAAGATATTGAGAACATCAACAAATCCATCGAGGTCTTCCATGATGCAAACCCTTACCACTAGGGTCACTACCATGGAACAAAACAAGGTCACTGTTTCCACCCTTGACAAATTAAAGGAAAAAATGAGTAAGATTTCTGAGGAATTCACTTATGTGGAATGGCCTCCCACTCCTTTGGATGTGAAGGACAAACTCCCTGAAAAGTTCTTCACTGCTGATATTCCAAAGTTCAAGCCTACTGACAATCCAATATTCCATTTGAAGGCATTATCCGCAACCATGGCTCTTAAGGGATTGGACGTTACACTCTTCCTTACGGTGTTCCCTCTCTCCTTAGAACACGCTTGCCAATAATGGTTTTATTCCCTAGATGCCAAGCATACTGCGACTTGGCAAGATGTCACCGACAGTTTCATGAATCGTTATAAGTATAACATTAAAACTAAAACTTCTGAATGTGAACTGTCCATTCTCAAACAGAAAGAGAATGATGGCTTCACCGCTTACCTGAACAGGTGGAGGGAAACAACTTCACTCTTAGTAGATCCTCCCAAGGAAAGAGAGATGGTTCGCCTCTTTATTCAAAATCTGACTCATAAATATAGGGAACATCTCAAATTTCTTCCACTGAACACTTTCGAAGCTGTATACGACATCGGCATCAATATCGAGGATGATAGTAACAATAATAACACTTGGAAAAACAAGAAGAACGACCATCTTTCTTCTTCGTCTTCTAAGCACGAAAATACTACCAACAATATAAGCCAAGTTGAGCTCAATGAAGTGTTAGCTCTTGATACTCCATTACCCAAGAAGAAAAGAACTTACACTCCTTTAGGAATGACTTATGATGCGGCCTTTGATCGCCTTTACAGCCAAGGCTTGACACTACTACAAAATTGGCCAAAGAAACCATACCAAAATAGCCTAAGAGACTACCTTAGGTGTGGTCTCTAGCTCGCAGGTGTCTTTGGCCTAAGAGACCATTTCATAAAAGGTGGTCTAACTTTACAATACCTGAGACCACCTTGCTAAAATAAATGGTCTCTTTTTTTAGTTTAATAATAAATAATATAGAAGGATAAGAGACCACATGTTTTAAATAGGCGATCTCTGGATTTAAATACTAAGACCACCTATTTTAAATGAGTGGTCTTTGTTTTTTGAATAATGAGACCATCAATTTTAAATAGGTGGTCTCTCTGAGGTCGTTTTTTTTTAAAAAAAAAAATAAATAAATTGCCATATTCCTTTTACAATTCATATTCATCCAATAAATTTTGACGCCAATATGTTACATTGTTGAACCTGCCACTAATACAGTACATATATATAGAAACATAAATTTTCCAAATAATATATATATATATAAATAAAAATATTTAATACAAAAACTAATTCTCTACAATAGAAATAAAACCCAAAATTTACATTAATTCTAATATTCAAAAACAAAACTCAAGTGTAGAGCTTTTCCTCCAAAAAAGAGTCAAAAGTAGAGGTAGATTCACAAGTATAATGATTAACACTAAGCTTATCTCGTATTCAAGCTTTGCTGATTCATCATCTATCAAGCTCATCCATCATGAATCTTCGTCATCTGGCTCATGATCAAGAACATATTTAATCCACAAATCTCGCATTTCATCAATATCTTCCGAAGAATATGTACAAATTGGGGGAAAGACCTGCAACATACAACATTTTTTTTTACACAAACTAGACGACATATATTAATTAATTAGATTTTTACAACTAAAGCAGCCCACCTCATTCCATAAATCAAAATTAGAGGAAGGCAAATAGCTATTAACATAGAACCATTCACTAAGCTGAAAACTAATGGCCCTAATATTAACAAACACAGTGCCCCTTCAAAAAGCAATTAAAACAAACTTTATGACAACAGAAGCTATACTACTACGAACATAACCCAACCGATCACTCCTCCTTAGATTCTTCATCAGCATTTAGAGCTGCCACAGCAGCAAGTTCAACATTATAGATTATCATAATAGGCTCAGGACAGGTGAGATACAAACAGAAGCAACATACAACATATGCCATCAAATAAGAGTATTATTTATTTACTTATTTTTGACGGAAATCAGATAGATATTTAACCAAAAGCTGAAAATCAGACATAAAAAAGCAAAAGAGCATTTTGACGAACATCCTCAATCCACACCCTTAGCTCACTTAATTTCAAGACTTGGTGTATTTCAGACATAACAAAGCACTGAAAAGAAATGAATTTCAGAACTTAAAATCACAACTATAATGAAATTTCAAAGGGGGGATCAGAACTCCAATTTCAAATTTCATTCCTAACTTAATTTCAAATACTGATTCAAAAATGAAAAGTAGACCTGACAATTAGAACTACAATCAGAACTACAAATCAGAATATACAAAACCTTATAGCTATTATAGATTGCATAAGCTGATGATGTTATAGTTATTAGAATATACAAATCAGAATATACAAAACCTTAATCAGAACCTTATAGCTATTCTGATTGCATAAGCTGATTTGATTATTTTTGGTGGTTAATATGATTAAGCTGCATGCAAACTGCAGAATTACACTTGAACACAGTTCAGACAGTTGGTTAGAGCAACAGACAGATAGAGTTACATTCACAATTCAGACAGTTGGTTGCACAGTTCGGAGTTACATTCATAGTTGGTTTCATAGTTCAGATTTGGTTTCACCAGACAGTTGGTTTCACAGTTCAGACAGTTGGTTTCACAGTTCAGACAGACAGACAGTTAGTTAGAGCTGAGGACAGTTTATATCAATTTAAATGACATATATTTGTAATATACCAGCTTGGAAACCCATAACACTCTTTTCTGCACAATATCTAGCATATATCGACAAACAAAGTATCCACAATACTTGGTGTATGCTGGTTGACGAGGACACTATGATAATGCAAACAATTAATCATTAACAAGATATTAGATTTTAGGATTAAACTGCATAATATTAACTGCTATAAAACTTTAGATAACTTACTTGTGGTTGCTCCCACCTAATATATGCATTCTTTTTTATTTTCTTGATGTCCTTCCGATGGACCGAGCTGAATTGTTTGATTCCTCTACACAATTACATGAAGATAGGAACTGAATTGTTTGATTCCTCTACACAATTACATGAATATAGGAAAATTGTAATAGTTTCCAAATACACTGTAAGAACAAAATAAGAAGTTAATGTCAAAGTTATTGCAATTATACATACACAGTGATGATCTTTTCAGCGAATGAGTTGGTTTTATTTTCTGCTCCAAGTGGATCTATCCAATACACCAATCCATTCCACGGACTAATAACAGCTAACGTCCAATGCATACTAAACCAGCAGCAAGGCACTTTTAGAAGGAAGAATGGATAAGAAAAACAACAAAATGTAAAAGGGGGCAGAAACTGTTTAACATAGCAATGTTTCCCTGACTTTGTTTACTTTAAGAGGAATTTATTAGTAAAAATAGCATAGCATATCAATATAGAAGCAATCAGGTTAAGAAAATTGAAATTACATATATTAAAGCATAAATAATGAACAAGAATAACAATCAAAGTAACATAATTACATAACAAAGGAACTATACTTACTTGTCATTAAAAGGAGCAAAGAATAGCTGATTATAGTTCTTCCCCTCATTGCACCCAAAAACACGAGCTAGATAGTTAGATCGAACTTGCTGGTTTGTCGTTGGTGTCAAAGGCGATAGAACATTAGAGTCACAAAACCCATACATTCCCGAGATACCTTCTTTGTGACAATGTTCTTTAAAGATCCTTATCCCATCAAAAGTTGTAAGTATATAAGAGAATGGACCAAAAATTTTCCACATTGTAATTAGAAACTAAATTGGAGGTGAACTTACTTCATGAATATATTCATTTGCGGTTCTCCAACCTCCCTTTGGAAACACCAATCAAGCAAGTCTTCGTAATCAAGTGAAACATTTAACCCATTTTCATTAAGAAACATGATCTCTGGAATAGTGATAGAGATGGTATCGCCGGTCTTTTGCATTCCCATAGCTTTTTTTTTTCTCATAACACGCATCAAAGTAGATGTCACCTTCTCACGATCCTTGTCGGTAATAACATACTTACAAGTTGTTGATGCGTGGGAGGATGTAGATTGTGGGGATGGCGTGGTCACATCAACTTCTTTATCTGATTGGTTGTTCGCCTTTAAAATATGTTTTCACATGAAAAATAAAACAAGACTATCATAAAAAATGCAAGGAACAACATACCAAAAACTAAGAGGGCATAGGAACTGAAAAACCAAGCTGCTGCCGCTGCAACAGCAGTCTGTAGCTTAAAGAAAAAAATATGAAGAAGCTTAAAGACAGTAGCGGACAGAAGCTTAAAAACAAGGAAGAATACTACCTTTTTGGGTAAAATCAAATTATTAGGCCAAGCTGTATAAGATCTCTTAGCATGACATACAAAAAGCAATTCATCGTTTGGGCATGGCAGAGGAGCAGTTGGCACAATATCTTCTGTAATGGTGACTCGACGATGACCAGGGGGCAACGATGTGTTATGATTGCCAAGAACTTCAGTGCTGCTTTGTATGAGGACTTTTAATCCAAGTCAAATGCCGAGGCACGTATGAAACATGTACTCCTTGCTTCTCCAGTTCTTTTTCCTACCATTGCAAATAAAATAGAAAATATAGCTGAAACACAAAATATTTCAAAATTTCTAAAATTATCAATTGAGTTCTCTATATATTCTTTTATTAAATTATCATGAAAGAGCATGGTGAGGAATGAGCACTATTAAGCTAAGCAGCGAGGCAAAGGTAAAAACAGAACACCACGATTATTATTTAGTTAGAACAGCTAGTATTAAGTTTATTTGAAGTAAAAAAACAGAAGGTTACAGCAATAAGAACACCACTAATACCACATAGTAGTTATAAAATGTTTAGCATATACTTACAATTGTTTCTTCAAAATATTGATAGCCAAGTCTCCTACCTCGATATTTTGAGGTCCTCTTCTTTGAACTTTCACGATTTCCTCAATTTCTGCAATAATTATATTTAATATCAGAGTTAATCCACACAAATTTTAAATGTACACAAAAAAATAAAGATAAAATAAATGCCAACGTAATGAACTTGCACCTTGAAGTCCCTAGAATTACAAGCCTGAATGAATTTTTCCCAATCATCTTTAGATATAAAAGGATATTTCAATGGTGGAGAATCATTGATTGTTCCATCTTTCTGGTACAACCATTTGAGCCTTAATCTAGTCTTGAAAGCTCTCCATCGAACGCAAGCTTGTTTCATAATCCAACCTTTGCGATCCTCAAGGATATGAAACCCCCTCTATATCCAAAAGAAATTTAGATATTCGTCACATTTAAAAGTATCAATACATAATTTAGTTTCTCTTCCTTTAAAACATAAAAACATTATACATACCGAAATATTGTCATACAAATCATTAAGAAGTGCTTTTGGCAGGTCTGACCACTTTCTGTAGGTGATGCTCACTTTTTCACGGACAACTACACCAATGTAGGTGGAGAAATGACCTATATGAACACCGATAAGGATTCTCCGAGTTGTATGCCACTGTAAAGAGATTTTTGTGCCAACCTGAATAGCTCTCCCAACCATTCTGAGCATAGTACGACCTCTTTCTTCCTCGCATTCAGAATTGTCCGTTGCGTGCACTTGCGATTTCTTTCGAGCCATCCTGCTACTACACAAAAGGTCAAAATTTAGAGTGACATGAGTAGTTAATTTCATAACAAAAAAACTCAATTCCAAAAAGTAAACAAAATATGCTATAATGACTAATATGTCAAAATTTAGATAAGCAATGAAATTATTAAAATGATAAAAGCACACATTTATAATTCACGTTGAAAAAATAAAGTAACAACCACAACGAATTAAGGAAATTAACTTTCACACACCTATTAAGATTTTTTAGCGCGCTTTCGCTTGGTTCCCTTTTTTTCTTTTTCAGCCCACATGCCTTCATTGTGGTCATCCCTTACATATATTGAAACATCATTGGCTACATCAACCTCAATATGTCCTTGTACCTTTCGCGTAACATAAGCATTGTCTAACACACTATCATCGCCATAATCATCATCAATATGTCGAGGATTCGGGGTTATAACTGATGACATTTTCTTGTTTGCCGGGTCAGTCATATAAAACACTTGTTTTGCTTGACTTGCTAAGATGAAAGGATCTTCTTTATGACCAAATTTGTTGAGATCAACCAATGTAAGCCCAAAATCACTATGTTCGACCCCATTGTTATTATCAACCCATTGGCATTGAAAAACAGGTACTGAAAAAGTAGAGTAATGTAACTCACAAATCTCTTCAATAACCCCATAGTACCTCATCAAACCACTCACAGGATTTTTGTCTTTAGCACTGGCAAAATTCAAGGCTTCGGCCTCTAAAGTAACACCACTATTCTGCATAGTACTTTGTTGATCTTGGAACCTTGTGTAAAATGTGCAACCATTTATGACATATCCAGAATAGTAAGTGGCATTGAAATTAGGCCCGAATGCCAAACTCTTCAATCGATCAGAAATTAAAGTAGAAGAATCCATTAGCTCTGTCATTACTTGATCTTTGAACCAAGTAATGAGTGATTTTCTATGTTCGGCAGCTAATGATTTCTCATTTGCCTTTCTGTTGCACTTCCTCAAGTAACTCATGTGTTGCTCCACATATGGCATAACTTCATCCTCATTATGAAGAATGTATGAATGCGCCTTATGTCAATCATCATAAGACAAGTCACGCTGTTTTCGACCTATGGTCCCCTCACCATCCATTCTTCCACTATGACGAGATACAGGAAGCCCTATCCGCTTTGATTTCAAAAAAAAGTCACCGGTATGAGCAAGAACTTCTTCATAAAACAATCGTTCAGCTATACAACCTTCCGGATGAAAAGCATTCGTCACATATCCCTTATAGGTTTTCATTTTCCTCTCAAAATACCACTGATTTCTCATGTGAACCGGACCACAATATCTTATCTCTCTAACTAAGTGGATTAGTAAATAAACCATAACATCAAAAAATGATGGAGGGAAGTACATCTCTAATTGACACAAAACTAAAACAATTTCATTCTCCAAAGTAGTCAACTCTTTAGGATCAATTACTTTGCTATAAATTGCATGAAAAAATCCACATAGTCTGATAATTGCAAATCGAACATCTTTAGGCAAAATTGAGCGAATCGCCACAGGTAATAATTGTTGCATCAAAACATGGCAATCATGTGACTTTAGGCCTACAAGTTTCAAGGTTTCCATATTCATAAGGTTGAGAATATTAGAAGAATAACCCTCGGGCACTTTCACTCCTGTCAAGCTTTCACAAAATTTGATTTTCTCTTTTCTTGACAAAGTGTAAGCAGCAGGAGGCAAGTATGTTCGACCTTTATCATTATCAACAGCATGGAGTTCACCTCTAATCCCCATATCCTTCAAGTCATCCTTCGCTTTTTTTCCATCTTTAGTCTTACCATTGATATTCAATAAGGTACCAATCAAACTATCACACACATTCTTCTCAATATGCATAACATCAAGTGAATGTCTCACACAAAGATATTTCCAATAAGGAAGCAGCCAAAGAACCGAACACTTTTTGAACCCCTGCGTAGAAAGGGCCGATTTATGTTTCTTGCCAAATGTGATGTCAATATTTTTCACCTTATCGAATATCTCTTCACCTAAGATGACTTTTGATCGCCCTTTAAACTCTTGCTTCCCATTGAACACATTCTTTCTCCTGCGATATGGATGATTAGGCGGCAAAAACTGGCGATGAACCGGATAAACATGTTTTTTAGATGCATTTAACCACGTTCTCTTGCAATCTTCCATACCGATGGGACAAGCTGTTTTCCCCTTCACAGTGTACCCCGAAAGGTTGCCATACGCCGGAAAATCTTGGATAGTGCAAAATAGCATTGCTTTCAAATTAAAATTCTCATTGCGATAAGCATCAAACACTTCAACACCTTCTTCCCAAAGCATAATCAAATCATCAATAAGTGGAGTCAAATACACATCGATGTCATTGCCCGGTTGCTTTGGACCTTGAATTAACAACGACAAGAACATATACCTTCTCTTCATGCACAATGAAGGAGGTAAGTTGTAGGTCACTAGCATAACTGGCCATGTGCTATATGTGCTACTCAAGGAACCGAATGGATTGAACCCATCCGTAGACAATGCAAGGCGTAAATTACTCTTTTCTTGGGCAAAGTCAGGGAATTTTCCTTCAATAAATCTCCACTGCGGAGAGTCAACTGGATGTCTAAGCATTCCATCGTCAAATCGACTATCGAAATGCCCTGTCAACTTCTTTGCATCTTCTGCTTTTGAAAACCATCGCTTGAACCTTGGTACTATAGGAAAATACCATAAAACCTTCGCTGGTACTGCTCCATCCCTTTTCTTGTACCGTGAAGCTTCACAAATTGGACAACTCTCTAATGATTCGTATTGATTTCGATACAATACACAATCATTAGGGCATGCATGGATTTTCTCATAAGGTAAACCTATTAGGCTTAGTGACTTTTTCGCCTCATATGTACTATCCGGAAGAACATTATCTTTGGGAAGCATGTCTTTCACTAACTCCAATAACATATTAAAACTAGTGTCAGTCCAACCATGACCCGCCTTCAAGTTATATAACTTAAGAATAGCGGATAATCGCGTGTACTTGGTGCATCCTTCATACAATGGCTTTTCAGAGTCACTTAACAAGCTCTTTGTCATCAAGTTGATCCTCAACCGCATGCAACATGTCCTCTAACTGATCACCCTCATCAACATCATGAACTACACGCACATTATCCCTAGTCTCACTACTATCACCCGCATGCATGTCTCTACGTTCCCCATGCCAAATCCAATGGGTATATGTTCTATCAAATGCCCATTTATTTAAATGATTGAGAATTTCATCTGGTTTCTTATGCAAAAAATTATGACGCATAAAACAAGCACAACGTAGCTTGGAGCGACCTCCACTATTTTCAAATGCAAATTTAATAAATTCCTTAACACCTTGTTGATATTCAGGGTCACTTGGCTTTGTTGTTGTTATCCAACTTCGATCCATTTCTAAGCACGAAGAACAAAACACAAACTCTTCAAAATCTATTAACACATGTTACTTTCATGAGTTATTCTTAGAATATTCATAACACAAAGACCAAATCACAATTAAAAACAGAGGAAGATATGCAATTGACAAAGTTAAAAACAAAGTCTCTATGTAGCCTCAGAAAGAGAGTCAAGAATCATCAAATATCAGACGGTAATTCCAACTTTGATTTTAATTTCACCCTTAGCAACATAATTAAACTTACTAATTTCGAATATTAAAAATCTAATAGCACAAACGGCTCTGTTTAATCACTAAAAATAGACCAACAGATCTCTATCAAAATGCAAAACAATAATTAAAGTGTAATCTTGGTCTAATCATAGCATGTATAATCATCGCATTGTATGCTATTAACGACGTGGCATCGGACCGTATAAAATAAAAAGAAAAAAATTCCAATCACAACAAAGTTCAGATAAATGATGATAATCAAAGCCATACACAATAGCAAATAAAAAGAAAAAAATGGGCATACATTATAGCAAATATTTTATTCAACTTTTAAAAAATCCAAACTTTCGCGGGAAAATCAAAATCCAATAACTCATTACTGTATAAATAAAAACAGGATTCATATATGAACAAGATGGGCAGATTACTATAACAATAGAACATCGTAGCAAACAATCAATAAACACGATTACACGATTCATATTCAAAATAATATCTACATAAAACAAACAAAATAAATATGATACCTAGCTTAGTTGCGGTGACCCTAATAGGGCTGGTTAGGGTTTTCCGTCTGGTCTTGTTGGCAGTGGTTGGCCGGAGGTAGAATGCGTCAGTAGTCGATTGTGGTCTTGTGGAGGCTAGCAAAGTTGTGCGAATAGCTAGGGCAGTAGTACTAAAATAGCAAATTCAATGCCCAAAACAACCAATAAATTGCTACCCGTGCGACCCTATGTGGTGCTAGTAGCGCAGTAGGCGACTGTAGGCGGTGTTTTCCGGCTAGTCGTGCGACCCTAGTGGTGGAGCGATTGCAAGAGTCGCGGTAAGGGTTTGTGCAATAGACGAAAGGTTTGAAATTGGGTTCTAAACTTCAAAAGATTGTAATAAATTTCATATAATGGGTTTGGAAATGAAAATGGAGGAAGATGAAAATGGAAAAGGTGGAAAACGAAGGTGGAAACAATGGCGGAAGAATCGAAGTCGAAGGTCGATGGTGCGCCGGTGCTGCTGCAAAATTATTTGTTTTGGCGGTTTAATTGTTTTGAAGGAAAATGAAAATTAAATTAATTAATTGGTTCCAACCCAAAAAAAAGAAAATTAATTAAATTGGGAATGTGTTGACCATCTTGACTGATAATGTAGAGAGTATAGACCATATTAGACTTTTCACCGGTCTCTCCTTTGTTTTTTTTTAAAAAAAAAAAAATTTATTGTATGTATTTTAAAAAAAGAGACCACTTATGTAGAAAAATGGTCTCTGTCGTTTTAAATTAAAATTTTGAAAAACTACAAGAGACCTATTGTTTCAAATAAGTGGTCTCTCGAAATATCAAAGATACCACATATTTAGGATATTTGGTCTCTTGATACTAAGAGACTACCTATTTAATTAAATGGTCTCTAACTTGTGGTCTCTTTGGCCAATTTTGTAGTAGTGTGATCACACCTATTGGGCCAGAGCCAAAACCTGAAGAAAGGAGCGCCAAATGGAATCCCAATGCCCATTGCAAGTACCATCAAGGAAGGGGCCACACTACGGAGCAATGTTGGAATTTGTAGGACGTCATTCAAGACTTGGTGGATGTAAACAAACTTCATATCCTTCCAGGCGGCAAGAAGTAATGAACACAAGACGCACAGCAGAACCTGCAAGATTTCATGATTTCTTTCTTTATCATTCATCTCCATTCCCCCATTCATGTCTAGCATAGGTTTTCCATTTTGAATTTTTATACGTTTCATGTGTTTCGTTCACCTTTTCCATTAATAAAATGAGCAAATTTCCTTTACATCTCGATCATAGAATTTTTCATTCATTCATTCATTCTCAAAAAAAAAATAAAAAAAAATCAATTACCGAACTAAACCCAAGGTACACCAATGACTTGAGGCACCTTTGCAACCCTGTCATTCCTTGTTAACCGTTCAATCACATTCCATTTCTTCATCAACCATTTTGAGCCTCGTCTAACGTTTGACCTTCATTTCTTCAACCCACATCTACTTAACTGGGATTGGAAGATGTGTAATTGTATAAAATTCAAAAAGTAAGTAAAAAAAAAAAGCAGCAAAGCAACAATAAAACAATGTCTAAAGGCTAGTGTTCCAATGTGTTTGGTATGAACACGTCTCAAATTGTGTCTCTCATCGAGTGCTCGTTACCGTTCCTAAGAAACATGAATGCTAAGTGAGTGATGGACCGCATGATCTAAGAATTCCTACATTGATTCAAAAGAATGAAAAGAAAATCAAGGCAAAAAAAAAATGTTGAAAATAAACTTGCAAAATTCAAAATTTTCAAATTCATAATAACACATCTTGGGGGCTTCTCTCGGGTCTTGAGCCTTTTACCCCTTTCTTCCTTAAACCATCAACTTAACCACATTAAAACCCTTGAAAGACCTCTTTGAGGTGTACATACACTTGTGCAAAGTTCGGTTAGAGCTACGTTCGGCCTGATTCCTAACGGATACGTAGGCAACCTCACATCGAGGTGCGGCCACATTCATATTCATATCTATGCATGATCGAGACAAAGAATATACAATGCTTACCCCTACCCATTTAGAGCTAGACTTGGGGGCTTAAACCCACATCATTTAGCCTACCTAGCCTAAAGAGTCATCATCTTTGACTCTTCTCACATCTCTTTCCATCGCCATAACCCTTGCAGCCAGCCTTAGTATCACATTTATACACTTCACTCACACATCCATATCCATATCAATCATCCTTCCCTTTAAGATACCTTTATCATGTAATCTTGTTTCAACACTGTGCATGTTTCATCATATTTAAAGACAACATTCATTAGAAGAAACATTGTATACTTGCTTAGCTTCTTGACCTGAGCAATATTCATTGTTTCATGCATCACATAATGTGCTGAGAAACATTTATATATCAATGATTTTTAATCATACCAAGCATATTGTGCTTAGCTCTTGACCTAAGCAACGTTCATTATGAAATAATCACTTCATCTGTATACGTGCTTAGCTTCCAGACCTAAGTGACATTCAATATCGTTTCTTTACACCATATATGATGCTTAGCTCCATGACCTAAGTTCATTCATCTTGTTACATGATGTAATTGTCCGTAGCCTCCTGGCCTAAAGACATGCATCATACATACATTACTTTCAAGAAAAGCAATTCAATCCATGTGATTTCATTTTGTCTTGTTCAACGAGGAAGTTCAAAACTTCTTTCCTTTTTTCACGTCTTTTCTTTTGGAGAAGTTTAAAAAAACTTTTTCAAAATTTTCTCATCGAGGGAAGTTCAAAAATAAAAGTTCAGTTTCACATCTTTCTTTTTCGGGAGAAAGTCGGTACCCTCCACTCATGACAAAAATTGACGGAAAATTTTTGCTTTTGCATCTTCGTTTGCTTGTGTCTTCACACACACACTCACAAGTCGTACACATGTCATGTCACATCAAGTCAAACTTGGTCGAGTCAATGGTCAAGTAAATCACAATATATACGAGTCCATTGGCAAATTAAATTTTGCAGGTCTCATCTACAGCCAACGTTCGGGGACAAGCGAACAAACTACAACCCACGTCCGGGGACAGGCGGACCATCTACAACCCACGTCCGGGGATAAGCGGACCATCTACAGCCCACGTCTGGAGACAAGCGGACCATTTACAGCCCACGTTCGGGGACAAGCGGACCATTTACAAACAACCCACGTCTGGGGATAAGCGGACCATTTACAGCCCACGTCCGGGGACAAGCGGACCATCTACAGCCCACGTTCGGGGACAAGCGGACCATCTACACCCCACGTTCGGGGACAAGCGGACCATTTACAGCCCACGTCCATGGACAAGAGGACCATCTACAGCCCACGTTCGCGGACAAGCGAACTAACTACAGCCCACTTTTGGGGACAAGCGAACCAACTACAGCCCACGTTCGGGGACAATCAAACCACCATCATTTCACGGCGCAAGGTTCTCGATACACAGAGACTTGCAATCTCATCATCTGTTAACTTTCCTCAAGCATGCAAAGTATTATCCGGTGGATTTCTTCAAGCATAGAAAACCGCCAAATTCATATGTCGGCTTTCCTCAAGCACGGAAAGTATCATCTGGTAGTTTTCTTCATGCTTAGAAAGTAACCAAATTCATCAGTCGGCTTTCCTTAGGCATGGAAAGCGTTTTAACAAACGTCATCCGGTGGATTCCTTCAAGCATAGGAAGCTGCCAAACTCATTTGTCACCGATACACTGGTGCCAGATACGTATTCTATCCTTTTACTCTTTTATCTGTGGAATTAACATTTTTCTGCAGGTATCGGCGTATACAGAGTGGTTTTGGATCACAGAAAATCTTAAATCATTCTCCGTCTCTATCGGCTACTTTGACTATCGTTTTCGAAACTGACGTTTCTACAAACTCAATCAAAGTGGGGGCTTCTGTAGACACCTTAAAATGTCTCCCCAAAACCAAACCCGATGATAAACAACCTTTCACCGTCACTATTGGTTGGGTTCATTATTTAATCCCGAGAGTGCTTAAAAAATCGTATTTAATTAAACTCAATTTTTGGATATTCCATGGATCAGTCTCGATGTTTGGTCAAAGCATAGATTTTTAATTTCAGCCCAAACCTTTTTTATTTTATTATTTTATTATTTATTTTGGCCTAAACCTTTTATTTATTTTATTTACTTATTTTCTTATTTTAGCCCAAATAATAATAAATCAGAAAATGGCCCAAAATTATCAATCGGCACTTAAAATGCTGAATGAAATTAGGGTTAAAAATGAATTTAGATGGAAAAACGGACAAAAAATTCCTGCATCACGGCAATAGCCCACCGTGTCACGGGAAAATGTCCCATCTTACGGTGGGATTTCCCGTGACACGGGAGTTTCCGTGTCCGTTCCGTGTAAACCCTTCACGCGTTTTATTCCCCGTACCCTAAAATAAGTCCTGCGTCACACAACTGTTCACCGCGTCACGGGAATTCATAATGCCGTGTCAAGGTATGCTTTTTTAGGGTTTTTATCATTTTAGGGTTCCGTGTGTTCCCTCAACACATTTTTTCTATAAATACCCCACATTTCTGATGTACGGGGCATCAATTAATTCTCTATTTTTCTATCTTCTATGCTCTAGCCTAAACACTAGCCTACCCTTATTCTTTCAAAATTCCTTCTTCAAGCACTCCCAGGAGTCCATACTTTACTCGTGGTTCTGTCCTTAAGCCAAGGCGTGAAAGGTAGAACCGTTTGAGGGTTTGACCCTAAATCAATTCTATTTAATTTAACTTAATTTAATTATTATTTTATTATTATTTCCTTGAAGTTACTAACTCGTTTATCATTTTGTAGTTGTAAGCAAATAGAATCAAAGTAAGAATTATGTTCATTTTATTTCTATTATTTTTCTGACGATTTTATATTGTTAGAATTATTGTTAAATTGCTTCCAATAATAATGCTTATTCTATTATGTTTATGATCACCATATTGCATGTTTAAAGGGAATATGTAATTGGAAATCACGCCTAATAAGATAATTTGGACAACCGGTTTAGGTTCCTTTTTAATCTTGTTGTTAATTCAAGTGATCACAATATTTTAGAATTATGTGTTGCATTAATATTAAACCAATTTAGCTTAATAATAGTTTGGAGAAAATTGAATATTTTGTTTGTATGCCTTTGAGATCGCAGGAATCACTTTTCACTATAAGAATCGAGTAGAGGCCAATATCGGCGAATGTGACTCCATGACTCACTTCGTACCATCATCCCCGATCCTCCTTTCGTGGTTCCGAACCATATGGAGTTAGTAATCTCATGGATTATGAATGGGGTGTAACCTTCACGGGTCAATCGTTGTTGCCAATCGATGTCCCTTATTGTGGTTGCCTTTTTATGATCCGTGAACGGTTTACAAGTACCTTAAAAAACTTGTCGGCGGCTCCCTACTTTATTTGTCTATAATCCTATTATGTTAATTCCCACTTTCTATGAGTTCCAAGAATATTCACACATGCTTTAACATAGGCGCACTTCGAGCGACGCCTACAGGATCTAATCGGGAAACTACAAAGACTGTATGCACGAGCATGTAATGTCTTAACTTGGTTGTGGCCCACACCAATGCGAGGCAC